ACATATATATATATGTATTCTGAGTTCTTGGAGCCTGCCAGTCCATTACCGCCTGTATCTTTGCTGGATCCATTTCTATTCCCGCCTTGGAAACTCTATAGCCTAAGTAGTCCGAACGGGTCTGGTGGAATTCACGTTTAGATACTTTGACATACAATTGGGCTTTTAACAATTTGGTCAGAACGTCCCTTACCCCATTCTCTCTGAGGGCTGCCCATAAAGATTTGGGCTTTGTGTATTTTCCCCCCTTTCTTTATTTAGTAAATTAATGTATTATCAAGGAATAAAGTTCGCTAACTCCTTTTCAACTTTGATTTGCTCAGGGAGTTACATAGTTTTTTTTCAACACTCTTTAATAGCTCCCTCCCCTCACCAGGTTGTCCTCAAACTTGGAAAGATTGAAGCAAACTTGTTTCTTTTTAATTTTCCAGGTTTTTTTTTCTTTTAAAGGTTCATTTTTAATTAAATACCACAGAAAAAAACAAAACGCAACCCGGTAACATTTTACCATGCACATAACCACACATATATTTGTGAGTGTGTATAATATATTATTTTTATTGTATTTATTAAAGTTATGTGTGTGTGTGTCATTTTTTCAGCAAATTTGCATTGATGTCCGTATATTAGTAGGTTAAAAACTATGCAAATCCTTCCTTCCTTCCTTCCTTCCTTCCTTCCTTCCTTCCTTCCTTCCTTCCTTCCTTCCTCATCTTTCTCTCTTTCCTCCCTCCCTCCCTCCCTCTCTTTCTTTCCTTATTTTTCAAGTAATGTATAAACTTTCCCCAAATGAATTATTGCAATAAGAAAGTAACTCTATGAGCAATCATTTTGTCTCTGGCTTTGACCACGTCGTTTTTACATTACATTTTATGCTCTGCTCTCACTTTTAAAAGCCCCAGCAAGAGGGAAAAGCCTCTTTCCCACAATTTTAGTGTTGATTGAGGTTGCCAGAAGTAGAATAAGTATCTTTTATTAAAGGACCCAGAATCATTTTAGCTTCAGAGGTAAGCTGCTCCCTATAGCAGGGGTCGGCAACCTTAAACACTCAAAGAGTCACAAACGTCCTAACAGGAAGCCAACCGGAAGTCCGGTTCCCCCACCATAGAGTCTCCTCCTAGCATGGCGTCCTTTTTCCTCTACCTGTCCTAACCGAAAGCCCTATCAATTGTGGAATCAACCAGCGACAGGGGGCCGCAGCAGGGGGATGAAAGAGCCACATGCGGCTCCAGAGCCATAGGTTGCTCACCTCTGCCCTATAGCCATGCAACAGATGAAAAAAAAAAACCTGAGGTTTACGCTTTTCCTTCCAGAGTCTCCGTGAGCCCACGACAGAATTTGCCGCGCATTACTTTAAAGGGGATCTTTCAAGATACAAAAGTCGTCCGGGGCCCTGACTGGGAATGGGGAAATCAGGACGGTAAGGATCTTTCCGCTGAATTTCTTCGGGGGATGGGGGGAATAGATCAACTTCAGGGATCCGTTGAGTTAACAATGGCTCCCTTTTCATCTTTGCCCATCCTGGAGAAACATTTACAAACCTTCAAAATGAGAATGAATTTTCTCATTTTGTTTTTTAACATCCTTGAGAAAAATAGTATGCCCCTCACGAATCTCTATTTCTGCATGCGGAGGAGCAGTCACTTTTAGTTGTCCCCAAGAAAGGCAATTTTGCTGAGTGGGTAGCCCAGACCAGAAATTTGACTGCCCTTCTGACTCTACTCCGGTTAAACTGGAAGATATACACCAGGCTTCACGCAACGTGTTTGATATTAGTAAAGCTGGGGAAAAAAATTGGGATCAAATGGTGTGGTAGCCTGTACAGCAAGTAGCAGAAGAGCTAGGGAAACTGGGAAGAAGGGAAACATGATGGGCGGATAACAATTCTAGTGTGTCTTTTTAAACAAAGCCGAATAAATGTGGAAGTCAGATTTTGAGGTAACTTGTTTTCTTGCAAAACTTTGTCTAATCCAGATATGTATTTTTCTGGGCACGTCGTATGATTTTTTTTTCAATAAAGCTGTAAAGAAAAAAGTTTGACAGGCGACATTTGCATTATGACATCACAAATTCCCGGAGAGCTCTTGAGGTGTGTGAAACCAAAGATGCTTCGTAGGTTTTCCCTTCCTTCTTTTTCAGGATACTTGCTGCTTATTAGCTAAGCCTTTTTTTAAAAGCTTTTCGATTTCTTAACCCAGTTCAAGGCTACTTAATAACCTGTATTCCTATCCCATCTGTCCCCTTTGCAGATTAAATAGATGCCAAATTTATCTCTCTTTTTTTTCATCCAGAACAAAAATTAAAAGTCCCAACTAAACTCAGAGCTTTTCAAAAAGTGTCACAACCTGAACTTGAGAATCTAACTTTGGATTCATTTCCTACTTTGGGGCAAAAACTTGCCAGAAACCCTCTTAACATACGGACAGCATGAATATTGATGAGTTACATATATTGTCCAGGCAATTATGGAAAGCAACCTATTTTCCAGCCCATGTTCTTTTGGCTTTTGGTTACATTGGACTGAAATATGAAATGTGTACGCCAAAATGCTGCATCTCAGAACACTCAGCAATTCTCTTGTCTACAGGTGGTGATGGCAAAATTGGGCGCGTGGTTGACATCCGTGGCTGGGATGTGGAGACGGGGCGGAGCGTGGCCAGTGTCACCTGGGCTGATGGTACCACAAACGTCTACCGAGTCGGCCACAAAGGGAAAGTTGACCTAAAATGTATCACAGAAGCATCTGGAGGGTTTTATTACAAGGAGCATCTTCCTAAATTAGGTATGTGTGGACTTTAAAAAAACAATTAAAGGATTCATCAGCTGTCCTTAATCTCAACCCCCTCCTCATAAACAGCTGGTTCCGTCTAGTGGACTACATCTTCCATAATCACCAACTGGGCCTTGCTGGGAATCCTGGGGGTTGTTTTCCAATCTCTTCCCAAGTGAAGAAGTGGCTGTCACATGTAGACTGTAATTTACACCTAACTAAGATTGATAGGGATGCAGTGGCTCAGTGGCTAAGACGCTGAGCTTGTCGATCAGAAAGATGGGCTGTTCAACGGTTCAATCCCTAGCACCGCATAACAGTGTGAGCTCCCGTTACTTGTCCCAGCTTCTGCCAACCTAGCCATTTGAAAACATGTAAAAATGCAAGTAGAAAAATAAGGACCACCTTTGGTGGGAAGGTAACAGCATTTGGTGTTTAGTCATGCTGGCCACATGACCACGGAGATGTTTTCGGACAGCACTGTCTCTTCAGCTTTGAAATGGAGATGAGCACTGCCCCCTAGAGTCGGGAGCGACTAGGACACATGCACAAAGGGAACCTTTACCTAAGATTGATTTGAGTACTAAGTGTTAGCAATATATTGTATATTTATACAATTGTCATAAAATGACAGGAACAGTTATATTTGTGGGGATTGAAGTCCACAGGTCTTAAACATTGCCAAGGTTGAACTCCCCTGCTTAAAAACCTTCTGGTTGGGTCTGATATTTTGCCTTTTTTTTTAAAACCTTCCCCCTCCCTGCCTGTCCCTGGTTTTTTTCCAGGCAAGCCGGCTGAGTTGCAGAAAAAGGAGAGCACGGAAGGGCATCCGTTCCAACATGGAGATAAAGTGAAATGCCTCCTAGACATCGACATCTTGCGGGAGATGCAGGAGGGCCACGGAGGCTGGAATCCCAAGATGGCTGAGGTAGGGTCATGCAAATGTCCACCCTTTTGTTGGAAGAGGGCATGATCTCTCACAAACGTGTGATTGGTCGCTTTTATTTCATCCAAGTGGATGTGTTCTGGCCCTCCAGCAGCCAGCAGAGCTGGCAGCAAATTCAGACAGTGAGGAGGTTGGGGAGGAAGATGGGCCAGTCCTGGAGTCTGGGGAAGGCTCGGACGAGGGCTCTGTGTCGGAGGCAGGGAGGGGGACAGGGCCGTACGCCAGTTATCAGCTGCTTCAGAGTCAAACATCAGTGGGGCAGAAGAACAGCTGAAGCCTCTTCCCAGTGTGCACATGCACAGAGTTGCCAGATGTAGGGAACAGCTTAAGGACAGGGATCGACTTGGGAGTAAGGCTACAGATGGATGATGAATGGCCCCTCCCAGAGGGAATAAAAGAGGAGCGACAGGGGAGTGGAGTTTGCAGGAAGCAATTAGTTTCCTTCATTGATTTGTGACTCTCCAAGGCTCCTTGCCAAGTTCTGCAGATATCGTCCTGGCAACTCTCCAAGCCAGATGAGGTCTGTGACCGTAAATCCTCCTTCAAAAGACTTTGCTGGATGTGAAGGAGCAGAATTCACAATCAATTAATAAAAGGGGTTTTTGTCAGGACCAGGAGTTTGCTTCGTGCTCTTGGGAAGCCTCGCTCAGAACAGGACAATGCCGAATGATCGGCCTGCTTTTAAGCTGCAAGGATGATGGGGTGTTGGTTTTCTTTCGTTCTTTTGTTTTTGCTTG